CAATATTCTCTCACAGAATAATTACTCATAATGCGAACTGACTGTGTCCGCAATGTGAAGTGAAATAAGTTGTAATTTGTAAACAAGTCATTCAACCGCAGTAGACTTATTACTGTTTACAAATTACAATCTATTTCGCTTCATATTGCGGAGACAGTTCGATTTATGTTGTTTCGACTACAAGATCGCATTACGAGTGATTATTCTGTGAAAGAATATTGCGACATGTATTGGGTGTTACGCAAACAGCGCAAGAATATGCAATTAGGTACCCTAATCAGCGACATCCTGATAAAAATGTTACGTACTCTACAATATTTACTGTGTCACAATAATCATTATCATAGAAAATGTATGTAATTGTTGCAGATTAGCATGTCCAGATCCAAGTTCGGTCATGCGTAGATCAAAATCGGTCCTTTTCAGGACCACTCAAAACGTAATACGTTGCTACAACTATCTTGTCACATTACAGGAATAGACATTATAAGGAATAAAGGGTACCTTCTGAAATTCACTGACGTTACAGCGAGCGATTGTATCTCACTCAATTACATGCAGATAAACAGGGACACTACGACAATACTCTTACAAGGAGAGGACGCGAGCTTAGTCACACGGATTTAGAAGCCCTTTTGGGGTAAGAAAGTACTTTGTAATAACAAACTGCAGGCCAATTGGCAGGACCCAATTCGGACCCGTTTTCGAGAAAAACCAGTTTGAAAAATGCAGTACTACTCATATATCTGCACCGTTGGCAATGTTTTCGAGAAGGGGGCGTAGCTCGGTAACAGCGCGCCTGACTACTACCCGAGCGGCCAGGGTTCGTAGAGATGTAGGAATGTGAGCTACTTACAAGTGGACGAGCAGAGGAAGAGAGAGAGACGGCGCTCGGTTCTCGACGATAGTGAAACAGATTTGGTTGAACGGGAAATTCTTGGTCCAGCCCTAAGGTGGACACTCGCCTAGACGAATGTTTATTAAAATGCCAAGAAATGAGTTCTTTTCGCGTGGACGCCCGGCACTGAAGTGATACACTTTTCGCTTGGGCCCTAAGGCAAGCTAGATCAAAATAGGCCCTAAGGTATTTGAGCGTGGACGCCCGGCACTGAAGTGATACACTTTTCGCTTGGGCCCTAAGGCAAGCTAGATCAAAATAGGTCCTAAGGAATTTGATCGGCACAACACTTGACTGACGCGGACAATCGGCTCAAGACTCCAAAAGGAATACTGCTCTACCAGAGGCTTGATTCGTAACTGAGGATGATCGGTATTGGAGTTCGTAAGGAAGATTTTGAGTTTCGAGGGGACTGAATGCAATGTCAGGAAATTTCGGGAAATTTGGATACGTGTTACGGCGTGATCGGTGCAATCGAACCCTGTCGTTCGATCGAATTCTCATTACAGGCTTTCGATCGCGGATTCTTCTTTGGATTAGTGCATTGTCAGGATAATAATCCTGGTGGTGAGGTGGGTGCGAAGGTGACGGGTAGGAGTTCTGATGTGCGCTGTATTCACGGTGCTATAATTAAAATGATCTTTAGGCACCTCATTTCTAGGTATTCTGTTGCTACACGTGACGTTCTTGTTCTTTGTTTGCCGCGATCTCTTTTTCTTCCCGCTCATCCACCTGCAATGTTATAGTGTTAGTGTGATTTCTGGAAGTGTGAGAGAGTATGAGATGTCGTGTAAAGTATAATATAATATAATATAATATAGTGATATCCCTAAATTATTAATATATATTGTGACGTATAATTCGTGATCGAGCCTCGTCGGGAGATGAGAGACTGACCGGCGCACAACTTACCCGAATCCTTCGCGTTCCAGGCAACCCAGGGCTAACATATCCAATTCGAAATAATACCTATGGTATTGTTGGGCGCCAGGTTCCAAAACGGGAACCACGTATCAATTCTACGGTTGGTCTTCGCGTGCCTACGTTGGCTAACTCAGCTAACTCGGAGGCGGCGGGGATCTTTCAGAGTAAGGACAACTTCAACAAAATGAATACTCCGGCTTTTTGGGTCAACAATAACAAAAATCGATCGTTTATTTTGCGCCCCTTTCGGACGCGACTACGCGGATATAACAAAATCCAAATTTAACAATTTCGACATAATTAATGGACCCAATAAGATCGCGACTAAAACAACAACGAAGGACAATATCAATTTCAGCTTAAGTCCTAATCCGAATTCTACGTACAAAGTTCGCGATCTATTCCGCGCAGTCTAACTATTACAGTTCGCTAAAATACAGTCGTACAATCCGATAAAATTCGATACTATTCGACATTTTCGACCATCAATAAATATTTTCGAACACTTCACTACAAATCCGACAATTCACTTCGACATAACTTTCGGACAATTCGAGATACGTTTCAATTGCATACAATCTCAATATTTGAGTCAAATCGACAATTTAACGCGGTCTAATCGCGACGCTTCGAAACATAAACGCGATACAATAAGATTCGGAGATCTAACACTCAACATTGCCGAGAGAACTTATCATTCAAACACATTCATTCGATTCGATTGGCAAACGCGCGGTAAATATGTCTACGATAGGCAGCATATTTACGCGAACACAGTCCCTTGCCGGCCGGCGGAATCTCGTACTCCAAACGAACGCGGTTCTACGAGTGGGAACATCTCCCACGTGCCTACAGGTACAATTCAACAACAAACGTACAAAACGCGGGGTGTTATGAGATTTCGTCGCTCACAAAACTTAACACATCGCTTACCGAAATCTCTACGTATCTTCGATCTGGAGAATTGAGCCCGTATACGCGGCCTCGGACGAAGTCCGAATTCTCCACAAAAATTACCCCGGAAAACAAACGGTTCCAAAAACACGACTCGCGTCGTCGACGGTCCAAGCAAGAAAAAGGAAGTTGCCTTCCCTTTCGACCGTAATCGGCAGCACCGGAGAGTATTATCCTCTCCCTTATTCGCAACCACCGCTGATTGGTCCTACGGCCCCAATCAGAAATCTCCGATCTGACACCACGCGCTACAATTCAAAATACGTCTTCGCGACAATTCATACGATTCGGGAACAGTGATTACGGGCGGATCCGCGATGGGCTCTGTCGTCCCCTAGGATTTCGCAACGGTTCACCAGGCGTCCCCGGATTCTCAGTTCGCGAGTCTTCGTTCCATTCGTCGATAGCGGTGGGCCTCCGTCATGAGTTGTGCGTTACAGGTGCTCCGTCGTTCGTAGGTCTATGTCACGCGGAATGAGTAATAGCTCCCTGCTAGTTACTCGGTACGCGTAGACCAGTTCATATAGCTCGGGTGATAGCGTGCGTAGAGTTGATCCAAGTCGCGAGGTGATTGGTGCGGTGAGCTACAGCGCGCGCAGCACGAGTCCTGCCGGCGCTCTGACGTCACTCAGCCTTTCGTCCTTGTTCCTCCCACGCTGATGATCCTTCGCTGGTTCTTCTTGAGATTCGGTAAGCCCGCGAATACAATATTCGCGGCATGGGACATGGCAAAAATCAAAACAACAAAATCAGAAATCAACCAATTCGCAACTTCGTTAGCCCTTGAGGTGGTGGCATCTTGCCTGGATTCTTCTCTAATACGCGTTTTCCCGCGTAACACGACAGTTCCCGCCGAGGACCTGACGGGGTAAAATCTACCACGTCACAATATATAACTTATAATTTATATTAACTAACGCATGTTCGTCAAGAATCGGTTACATCTGTCGTGGTCTTTAACCTTTGCTAATGGGAGAACTGTATGGTGCTGAAGGGGGCGGGGGCAATGGGGTTGCGTTTCGTCGGACGTAACACGTGGAGAGAGCAAAAGGGGCGAGATTTGACCGAGTCGGACGAATTGTGTGGTAATTTTCTTCGTGAACGCTGTATAGTTGTGCTACTAGTGTGTGCGTGAAGCGGTACGCGACATTGCCATACTTACCAAATTTCATCGCAGTTCGATATCCTTGTTACATGTATTTTGCATTTCGCTAATTAATATTGGCAGTATATTAATTTGAGTGTATCGTTTTATCTCGCTATCTAACCGTGTGATGTATTTTTTTACAGTTTATTTTGGGTAACTACGAAGAGCCCTTGATTTACACGGGCCTGTTGTAATCGTTCTCTTCTTCCTACACTCCCCAGTCGCCATACGCTCAGCACATACACACTTGAAGTAGGGATATCCTTATATACGGCAAAGAGTTAAGCATTTTTTATTTTTTAGATCTGAATTTCGAAATAATTAACATTAAAACTTGCAGATGCGGCTCCAATCTGGAAGCCAATTCTACCCATATGAACAAAGGCCGCAAAAGACTGAAATCTATAATTAACATGAAAAATTGTTATTGTTACCCTATTATGGTTGATTTTCTTAAAATTCGGTGCTTGGGAGTTTTTTTAAGTTGCTGATCAGTGATCAGCAGGAATTTAGGGTCAGAAATTTCGCCTCGTTTATAGTAGTGGAGGAAAATGCATAAAGTTAATACAGATAGAGCAGACAAGCCAGCTCTCAACGCGGCAGCGGCGAAGAGAGAGATAGATGCAAATCAGGGTGCAAAGACGAATAGCTAAAGGGGTTCAGCTATCTCTTTGTTTCTCATTATGAGCGAACGGACACTTCCACTTGCAGAGCAGCCTATGGCTTGTCTGCTCTATCTGTATTAACTCTATGGGAAAATGGCGGGAGTTCACTCTGTGAGCACATTCACTAAAGTAGAAATGTCATGTGAAATCATGACAAGCCTGACGAACATGTGACAAGCGTATGCTGCATAACGTAGTAACCCATGAGGATATACTTCAGTTCGAAATACATTATTTAAGATATGAATTGCTTTACTTCGAGTTCCTCATCCTAGTCTTTATAATTTCAGAAAACCTTGCAATAACCTTGGCAGTTTTTGTGTACTGCTCGCCATTGCTCTCGATCTTACATTCTCCCATATTGTTGTCACATTATCTCTCGATCCTGAACGAGTAATTTTCATAGTATTCGGAGGCCTGCAGTTCCTCGACGTAGTGCTGGGAGATTCAGGGTCCCTCGCTGTCATCTTGGGAGTTTTTATGCTACTAGCCGTTGCTGTCGATTGTACATTTTCCTGTACTTCCTACCGTACATTATCCCGTACGTTATCCCTTACATTATCCTGTACATTAATTTCAGTCCTGGACGAGTTCATTTTCGTAGTATTCCGCGTCATGCAGTTCCTCTATCTAGTGCTGGAAGATTCAGGGTCCCTCGCTGTCATCCTGGGAGTTTTTGTGCTACTAGCCGTTGCCGTTGATCGTATATTTTCCTGTACTTCTTGTCTTCTTGACTACTACCCTACTACGCGCGCCAAGCGATTGTCACCCGAGTGGCTCGAGCAAAACTAGCAAAATGTAGGCGTTTTTTCAAATGAAAAATTTAACCCCTTAGCATACTCATTTTCAGATGTTTAAAAGCGCGTTTTAATCGCTGAAATCTCAGCTACAACGTGGAATAAATATGAAACTTCTATTTCATCGCATTCCTAATGAAAAAAGGCAAGGAAGCTTCGGGTGCGCTTGCGATATCTCGAGATCTCCGTCACGGGATCATCTCCGAGAACAATAATTTTTTGAGAATCTGCAGTATCATTAAAGATGATATCACGCAGAAACTGGACCAGATTGGCCGACGCGTTTGGAAGTTATGGCCAATTAAGTGTGTTCACTTCAAGGGGGTGTAGCTCCACGTAGAGTGATGCTACAGGGATTCAATGGGGGTGTTTTTTAACTGCCGAAGGATGCTCTCTCTCGTGCCATAATTAGAAATATGAATTTCCCGCCGGAACTACTAGTTCTCGCACTTTTCAAAAAGTCCCAAAATGCACTATTTCACTTCAACCCCTGCCGTTCAGCCATTTTGTATCCGATCGGGATAAAACCTTTACCATTCGAACGGGAAGGAAATTTCCTAAAAAATTTGTTTTTGGTTTTTTCAAATCGGTCATAGTTTTGCAGAAACACAAAAATTCAAGTGTTCCACTTCAATTGCACATTACTGTATTATGCACCATACTTAAAAAGGAACAATGCAATGTTCGTTAAAAAAAATTTTCTCTGACTAATAATTTAGGGGATATTTCGGGTGGTAAAAGTTATTACTTTTTACTTTATCTTTATTATTATAAAGTTATTATTTTAATATTGAAAAATATATCGATAGATACATAAGTCTCTATAATCGTGTTTTCCTAAATCTTTTCCTAAATCATTTGTTTATACTGTATTTGTACGAATGTTATTAGTACAATAAAAATCATATTATTCTTACACAGCGCCGAAAGGTTACCTTCGTGGACACACTGACGTTATTCAAAACGGATGGGGAAATAAAATCGGTTTTGAAGAAGTCTCCAGATCATCCTGATAAGAAACAGTTTCTTCAAAGTTTTCAACTGACTGTGAAAAACTGTAAAAGTGAAGCAGGTTTGCCAGCTTCTAATACTGACACTTCTAAACCTGCTGGTAAATCAATATTTGCGAATAACTCTCCAAAGCTGGATTACTCTGATGACAAGAATATTAATAAGGATGAAACTGCTAAAAGTGATATGAAACTCCCGTCAAGTCCAATCAGAGTAGCTGTAGGAGTACTAGATGATGGAAATATACCTAAAGGTACAAATGGTTCAAAGTTGGATGTTTATACCTTTCCTACTCAAACCCCTGCTCTTCCTGCAGGAGCGGTTAAGAGGAAATGTCCTCCAGGTTTACCAATTTTCGATATCAAACGACGACGTCGAGCTCAAGGATCATCACCGCGAAAGACACCTCTTATCGCGTTAATAAAATCAAGCCAGAAAGCACCAGATGTAGTGAGTTCCACTAATATCTGTGGACGAGTTGAATCCGGACCAATGACCGGAGTTGTTACCGAAAAATTTACACCCATGCTCTCAAATGACACTAGAAACCTTCTTGATGGATGTGGACTTAATATACCAGCAAGCTTAAGTATTACGCTGACTGCGCCTAAATCACCTGGTGGTTCCATCGTTCCAGAACAGTCTGGTCCCAATGATTCGCATACAATTCATGGAAAAGTCAATCCAAGTATCACTTTGAATGACCGATCAGTTGATCCTTTGGTTCTAAAAGCTCTTAAGTCGGGACAAATTAGAATGCCAACATCAACGAGGCCCAAAGTGAAGCCTGGTGAGCCGAAATCTATCACCAAAAAACGGGATCATGATGTGAGAGACGTTTTGGACTTAAGCGGAAAAAAAGGAGAGGTTACTGGAAAGAAAACTGGTATACATCCACTTCGTATACCACAACCTGTGTCAAAGCAAAAAGGAAAACCCATTTGTAGAGAAGCAGGACAGTTTGTGACTTTAACAGGAGGTCAAAGATTTTATAGAACACCTCCAGGTTCTCTCACTCCTGCAGCCCATCGAGTAGATGTACCCATTCCTTCACGAATGCCGGTATATGCACCATCTTGTCTCACGAGTCCGCGCTCCAATAATTTATCTTCGGTCTTCCCTAGCCTTCAGAGTCTCTATGCGCTCAGTCAGGCTCCAAATCTTCAGCAATTTCAAATAGACTCCAGAATGCAGAATTTAAAAAATGAGGGATTTCCTAGTCCAAGTAAAAGCCATCTTGCTGCGCAGTGTCCTCCTGTTAAACCAGCCAGGTCTTCCATCGCTCCATTAGCGGTTCCGATAATCAAACAAACTAATGAGTCTCCATCTAGACATAGACTTATGAGCAGTACCAAGTCTCTACTTAATACAGGTACCACTACCGAAGATGTCAGTACTTTGGAAATAAAGATAACAACGTGCGCAAATAAAGATAATCAGTGTCTATCCAGTCCAACGATAATTGGAACAGTAAGGTAACTAGAATTCATCTAATTTTAATACTGTCTTTAATGTGAAGTCCTAGGTTACTGTTATGTAAAATTAATAACATTGTATTGATATACTGTTCACAGTTCCGATCATATTATCCAAGACGCTGCCAGTCCAAGAGTTTCTTCTACAGCCTCTCCATCGCCTCCACTAAATGCAAATAGCTCAGCTAATTCGGAAACAGTGTTTGATGAAGAGGAGAAATCTTCAAATATTGTTGAAAAAAATAATAGTATGGAGGAAGTAAGTAGCAGTAAAAATCCAGTTAGCCCAGATTCTAGTTCCGTTGTGACTGAAATTCTTCCTCTATCTTTCTCAGACCAGGATGTTCTGTCAGATTCTATAACTCTGAAGTCTAAGTCCAACAATGCTTGTACGTCTTAAATAGTAAAATATTGGTTTTTCGTGGGGGTGGAAAGGGGGTGGTAAATAATATATAGGCCATATTTGTGTTATCTCTAGAAGTTAATCCTTTGCGGACTGGTATCGAAATGTTCCCGACAAAATATTTTATTGTTCTGGACGCGTGGCTCTTGATAGACAGAATTTATAAAAGTAAATCAATGCTTATTGGGAACATGAACATACTATGGACTATTTACGAGATACTGGAAACAGTGCGAATGCGGATGTTGGTGTGCTAAAACGTTCCGTCTACAAAGGGTTAAGCGACACGTATCGTTGGAGGTTAAGAATTTCATCTAATAAAACATAAAATAGGCCTAAAAAGTTCATTTACAAAGATAGGGGTTATGTTCGTGGCAATATACTTATTCCGAGTTGTAAGAACATACAAACTTCTACAGGTAATAATAACGGAATGAATACTTAGTACTTTTAAAATGCAGTCTATAAAGGGAAAGTTATAATATATAGCCCACTTTGTATTTCCTATACACTGTTCATTTTATAATTTTAAAATCATCTATACACATTAGCCTATCACCTAACTGTACTGATTATTTTATCAAATCTCGATTTATTTTCATTACGGAGTAATAATATCAGAAGCGAGGAAAGCTTTGCATTCATTGTTCTCCATTGGTTTCTATTAATTCATCAAAGTATCAGTTTCGTATCCACCTTCCTAATATGTTAGGGAATCCAGACGACCTTCGATTATGTTTATTGGGTACCTTAACACTTTATCTACCGGAAGCCTATTAATAGACTGCTCGGTTGACAACGATTATCGGTACTGGCGACGAATCCGCGCCGAATTGAGTCGGTCGTTAGTGAACCGCAACTTCAACCATTAATGGTACACAAAGTGTTAATTTAAATAAAAATGTACCAAACAGAGCTACAATATTATTCTCGAAGATAAGGTTTTGCGAATTTTATGTCAACCCAGCTTTGTTGGCATATAAGTAAGGTGGCAATATGTTGAGAAATTAATACAAAACAACAGAGAATAATGGCTGTAAAGCTTTCCTCATTTCTTACGCCATCACAGAATAGCAGAATAGCAGCCTTAATATCTTTGCTATAACTGTTGAAAGAAAAGATAATAATGCAAACAATTGTATTATTTTAATAAAATGTCTTTTGGTTTTTTGTATAAAAAATTATTTTTTCTGAATATGATTAAAAAGAATGATAAGTCAGAGAGTATCTTATAAAATTCTCAAATCCACAATGTGAGTGTTAGTTACTTTATTCAAAGAATCTTGGATTTGATTAACATTCTAATCAGTATTTTCACTCGGCAATAAGCAAATTTCACTGTTTCGAAATTGTGTACTGTTCTCACTTATCGTTTAACCACTATTCTCTTTGTATCATGTTCGACTAATTATAATGAAAAGTAAAGTTACCGATGTGTCGTTAGCTCAACTGTCAAATTTTTACCGTAGCGCATTCATACGCGTAAGAAAACTACTATCGGATAAGAAAGGTAAAATGGAGAATAGTGATTAAACGAGAAGTAGAAGCAATGGTAAACCAATATACGTAAATTCGACTGTTTTAATAAGAAATAAATATTTTTCCATAACTTTTATTTACGTTATTGTTAAATATGTGTGGTTTATTATTTTTTTCGGCAAATAGAATTTATTATATTCATAGAGAAAAAAACTAAGTCTTTTATACTTAAACTAACGAGGTTCCTTTTTTTTTTAATATGAATATTCCATCTTTATAAAAAATTGTATATTATCTGCTTTCTTTATAGTCAGTTCAAAAATATTTTTATCCTTAAAAAAGTATTATTAAAAGCTGTATTACAAAACATAAAATGAAAGCTTTTACTAATGTAGTATTAGCAGATCAATATTGTTCAAATTATTATTTTTAAATTGAATCGATTTATGATGGTGTATATTACTTACACAATGATAGATATAAAAATAAATAGAATTTATATTTTTAAAACAGGATGTAAGAGTTAAAGCATTTACAACAAGGCAAATTTTGTTCATAAGAAAATGTGTTTTGGAAAAATCCCCATATCACTTGCAATGTTATAAGGTTCACTCAATTTGGAATTGTACCTGTAAATATAATTATATCTATACATTAACATGCATTTTTTGCAAATTTGCTACCGTAAATTACATGTGTATTCTAGATTTGTGTTCTAGTGTTGTAAATCTTGGCAGAATTAATTCTATAATTTTCTCATTTTCTCATTTCATCATTATATGCAATTTTGAAAGAGAACTTTAAGTGCAAGATCACGATGCTCGTAAACATTTCTTGTGTTTTAAACCTATTTTATTCTACAAGTTGAATACCTTTTTTCTTAACTTTTTGTATCCGATCACGTCTTTATAAATTCCTGTTCTGGCGTAAGCACTGGAAAATTTAGTTTAATGATTTAATATAAAATATATGTATGGTGGAGATTTTCTTCATCAAGTACTTTCTATATGACCCTTAAGATTTCTGCATCTGCATTTATGAACCTTTAGACAGCTATACTATACAAACTATAGCTTTAAGCCGATAGTGTCCAGGAACTTTTCTCTTCTTTTTTTAGTTTAGAAAATGCCGATTTTTTTTTTTTATTTTTACGCTTCATTTTAACACGTTTTTTTTTTAGTGAATTAATGCTTTGGCACACTACACCTCGAAAATTGTTGCACTTAGAGGAAAGTTTTAAGGATAATTTTTCGTTTTTCTTTAATTCTCTAAATGCCGATATTTTTAGATTTTTTTAGATCTCGTTTAAAGGTACTTTTTAATGAATTTATGCTTGGGCTCACCATAGCTCGCAAATAATTGCTCTCAGAGAAAAATTTTAAAGACCATTTATCCTTCCTTTTTGATTCTTTAAATGCTGATATTTTTAGGTTTTTTTCTAGAATAATATTTTAATTTGCCATAATTTTCAAATGGCCGCTTTGAGAGCCACCACAAACGTGCGACACGAGAAAGCTACACGCAATTTTTAATTCTCCAATCGCGAATCTTTAAAAACAAAATGGTAACCGAATTTAAAAGGTATTACTGCATCTCTGTGGATTTTTTCAGTATCAATTATGCATAGTCCAATGATGAATGATAAAAATTATACGAAACATAGTATCTTTTCATAGAGATTCCCATATAAATGTCGATGTGTACGAATGATGGCGTCCGCCCGGCTGGCTAGGAGTTAATATGTAATTCAGACTAATTGTTTAAGAATACCTGAATTCTAGAAGTGGACTGTCAAAGGAATCGAAACATTTAAATTGCTGTTTTTATTCTTTATCAACTTGTTCGATAACTATACGGAACATTCATTTGAATTCGAGTAATGCAGTTTACTGTTAGTCACCTACTAGCTTACCAAATTATGAAGGCACTGAAATACTTTTACATAAATTGAGGAACACGGAATGAATAAACAAATTGGATCATGCATAAATATATTAATATATATTTTAAGAAAGGTAACAATATTTTGCCGCTATCAACGAATATAAGAATAAGAATTCATAGAACATGAAATATTAACAAAAATTAATTAATTTTTATGTAAAACTCATATGTAACAGTGAAATACGCTAATCTATATACATTATATTTTATGTGTAACTCTTCAATCACAGCGGTACGTGTCATTGCACAGTTTATTTCATAAATATATCAACAATTCTTGACATATGCATCAAGGAGATACCAGTAAAGAGAGCCAACCTTATAGTTCTTTATATCTGCTAGGGCTCAGTGGGCGTAAAAGATACGCTGGACCCAACATTAAACTTCAGAAGGGGATTGATTTCCTGTTATTTAATTTCAGACACAGAATATATAAGAACTGACTCTCTATACCAGATCTCTGTTATAAGTTTAAAAAGAATGTAAAGATCTGCAATATTCCTGTTCTGGATAGTTTTTTTTTTAAGTTGGAGTTGGAAATGCTTTACACTCAACTACAAATGTTAGTGTGAGACTCCTTCGTTACTGGCCCTACCTACTAAAACCAACTCCACAGTTGCGCCTACCTATGATCCCGGCACCGCTTTCGCATTAGTTCAGGGTCGATTATGGACAGTACACTAATCTCATTTGTATATCATACACATCTCAGTAGCAAAAACAATTAATTTTGTTTCATTTTCAGCCAATCCTAATGTAAAATAATTAATAATTTTTGTTTAAAATCATTATATTAGTGTTACATTCATTCATTTTAATATTTTATTGATAATAACATATTACAGACAAATGGTCAAATTGTAAGAGTAAGTATGATGCGTTGTTGAATGACCCTAATGGTGAAAATAATAGAAGGTAGAATTTAATATAATGAGTTTAGAGGATTTCAACGTTTTTTTTAAAAATAGAATTCCTGATTTTCTGTATTAATAATTTGTGGAATATCGCTGTATGTGTAACGAATATTTGTTCAGTGTCGACCAATTCTTCAGCTAGTTTTCTGTATTGTCTTTTTAATCGGATTCGGACGAATTCAATAAGCTTGTTTATAACATCGTTTCTAATCTTTCTTAAGATAATGGAAGATACAAAGTACGAGGAAAATGTATGTATCTGGTGTGTGTTAGGTGTTGCAGATAGAGGACTGTTGTGGAAGTCTTAATTGTAAAATTAATCTCCTTATAACAAAATATTCAGCTTCCATTTTTTAGTTAAAAATCAATCACTACCGAAATAAATAGTTTCTTCATCACTTGCTTCTTCATCATGTGTAAAATACATATATTATTACCTAATATGGATGTACTACGGAAATTATAATATTATGGATATTTCGCAGATATTATTAGATGTTTACGAAATGTTCTATCTACGACGTCTATCATTAGTTAAATGAATTCGACAAATGATGGATGTTCGATGGATATCTTGTGCTGCTATGTGGGTTGTTTTACCTTGGATTTTAGTGTCTGAAGAACGATTGTACCTTGTTCAAATATGTAAATGAGTTTTACTCTAATCTCACGCAATAGTAACTAAAAAAATTCAGTTCTACAAAGTGTTTTTTTTTTTGTAATTATACAACGTTTGTCGGAAATATTTTCTTCTAACAGTACAACTGAAGGGAGAAATTATCTGTTCATGTTGAATTGAAACATATTGTATATACAATTATCTTAACTGTTAAAGTAGCGTATATCTTTTAATTTCATATTAATGTAATATTCATCGTTTACACTGTGTAAGTATTTCTCCTTTTTATTGTAAATGTGTCGCAGTTAATAGTCTTACAGAATTGTATAATGTTTGAAATTATGCAACGAATTATTGTGAACTGTTTCGATTTCACATTAATTCGACTTATCATACAACACACTAATATAATCTGAAACTTATAATATAATTTCAACATACAAAAGTATAGTATATAGTATAGTATAGTCGACACTGGAGCGGAATAAAAGTTTTTCAAAACACTTATGTCGAACAAGTTCTTAGAAATTATCAAGACAAACTATTGACTTCTACTAACTAACCAAGTATTTCATATAAGAAATGATTTTATTATTTTCTAAATGAATGTAAACCTACGAAACTCGATAATTAAGTAGAAATAATCATATTTTTGAAGTAAAAGCACTTGTATATTAGAAAATCTAATAGTATTCTGGAAAAATTTTACTGAATACTACACGAGTATGATATTGTGGTATAAATGTAAGTTTGTGTAAGTATTCGGAATCTTTTGATTGTTATCTAACAATGACCACCGAACCGATTTCCGATTACTAGATTTAAAATTCAAGGGTTTTTCTAAAATATATTAGGAATTCATCAGTGTAATGGAAAAAACATTTAGAGAGGTATGATGTTCTCCCAAAGATTGCATCAGAATGAAGGGGATTATTTATGTTTTATTAGATACTTTGGATTATACAGGCATCATTAGAATGTCATTATCATAGAATGTATAAGTTCTGTTGTATTTTTTTGTTTTCATATAATTATACTAGTTCATTTGATTTAAATTGAGTCCAAAGTGTTTAAAAAAAACAGCAGTTGGCACATCAATTTCTCCTTTAAATTGTATACCTTGCTGCTTTCGGTTTCATATTTATATTAAATTATTTTTTTAATTAGTCATATGCCAATTAGATATTAATTCAAGCAAATGCCTAATGCTTTTTGGCATGTTGTATAATAAGTAGGTGTAGTACAGACATACTAGTTATACAAACACAACAATTTACATAGCTATTATATCATGATTTCAGAACGTATTTTCTTTAAATCATAGACAATATCTAACAATAAAAAATTGTTATAAATTATAAGTTGAAATACTACAACATATTTCATCGTGGAACTGGAATACTATGGCTCTTTAAAGTTATTTGTAAGAAGTTATGATACAACTCCCGCAGAAATGCCCGGATACATTGTTTTTTTTCTTTTATACAAGGTATGGTATTGCTTAACCCTATTCTTATCATGGTCTGACGTTAGATAACATTTCACGGTTAAATAAATTTACTTTCTGCAATGGGGAACTGGATTGCGACGAAAATTAAAAAATTGTCTAAGTAGTTTACTAGAATATGATCGCAAAATGCCAGAGCCCTGATTAGATAA